CCTCTTGCGCCTTCCTGACTTCTTCCCAAATAGTCCAAGTCGGTCCAGTGATAGCATTAAGCTCAGCTACATCAGTCCGTCTGGATAGTGCATCGGCTACTGCATTCTGTCGGCCTGGCCGGTAGACTATCTCAAAGTCAAACCCCATTAGTTTGGAAACAAACTTCTGCTGTTCGGAGATAACAATCCTTTGCTCGAGTAGATGCTTGAGCGGCTGTTGGTCGCTCACAATCCGAAAGCGTCGCCCCAATAGATAAGGCCTCCAACACCTTACAGCCTCGACAACGACCAGCATCTCCTTCACATACAAAGATAGACCTAGTCGAGTCGTGCCTAGTGCCTTGCTGAGGTAGGCTAAGGGTCGTCCTTCTTGCACTAGCACAACTCCAATCCCAATGTCACTCACATCTGTGTGTACCTCGAACAAGACATCAAACTTTGGCATGGCGAGTACTGGCGTTGTAGTCATGGTGACTTTCAGTTTTCCAAACGCCTCCTCGCTAGCTTCGGTCCATGTGAACCCTCCTTTCTTAGTCATCTCCGTCAGTGGTTTGGCGATGGTTCCATTATCCTTCACGACCTACTTGTAGTAGCCCGTAAGTCCTAGAAATCCTCTCAGCTGTGTGAGACATGTCGGTTTAGGCCAGTCGACCATAGCCTCAATCTTTCGTGGGTCAACCTTCACGCCCTCGTGGGATATGAAATGCCCTAGATACTCAACCATCTTTTGCCCGAATGAACACTTGGATGGCTTGATGTGAAATGAGTTTGCCTCTAAGATTTCGAGCACCACTCTAAAATGCTCAAGATGTTCAACCCACGATTTGGAATAGATCAGGATATCATCAAAGAATACCAGAACGAACTTACGCAGATACTCTTTGAAGATGTAATTCATAGCAAACTGAAAAGTGGATGGGGCGTTGCACAGTCCGAATGGCATAACCAAATACTCGTAGTGCCCCTGGTGCGTACGAAATGTTGTCTTCGGAATGTCAGCTTTGTGGAGTCGAATATGATGTTAACCAGCTCTTAGATCGAGCTTTGAGAAGTAACGTGATCCAGCTAATTCATCGAGCATGTTGTCGACACTAGGAATAGAAAATCGGTCTTTGATAGTCGCGGCATTCAGAGCTCGGTAGCCAGTACAAAACCTCCACGTGCCATCTTTCTTTTTAGCTAACAGTACTGGAGAAGAAAACGGACTCTTGCTATGTTGGATCAATCCTGACTCTAGCATCTCAGCCACTTGCCGTTCGATCTCAGTTTTCTGAAAGTGAGCGTACCTATAAGGGTGGACGTGTATGGCATGCTGCTCATTGATCAGCGGGTATGCGATGATCGAACTCTCGGTGTGGTGGTAGTCCCTTAGGTTCGCCCAGTACTCCCTCAAACTCCTCGAGAAGATCGCGCACATCTCCTTGTTGTTGCTCGTCCTGGTCTAAGTGCGCCTCAGCGTTCTTAACTACTACTGCAAAGATTTGTCCGCCACCTCGCCAAACTCTTTCGATGGTTTTCAGCCCTACTTCCTTGGTACCTTTTTCGTTGCCAGCACTCAGAGTGACTTGTCGACCTCCAGAATTGAACTCCCTAACTCCCATGCGATAGTCGGTAGTCACCTTGCCTAACTCTTCGAGCCACTGTACTCCCAGAACGACATCCGGCCCAACCAAAGGTAGGGCATAGAGGTCAGCCATCACAGTAACTCCGTTGAATTTGATAGGCACCTTCCGGAATGACACAGTACATTGTAGCCTTTCACCATTGGCTACTCGAACTTCAAAAGGCTCAATCTTCGTGGTTGGTAAATTCAGCTTCTGGGACAAGTCGGCATTAATGAAGTTGTGTGATGACTCGTTGTCTACGAGCACCATCACCCTATGATCCTTGACCCAGGCTGGCAATCGCATTGTCCGAGGCCCCCGGATCCCTGCCATTGCGTGCATCAATATCTCTGCTTCCTCTTCGGCCGCTTTAACCTCATCATCCTGTTATTCTTCCTCGGCCTCTGATTCCTCGTCATCAGAATTAGCAACTTCTATCACGAAAGCTTGCTTACATTGATGGCCCGGTGTGAATTTTTCTTCGCATTTAAAACATAGGCCCTTCTCACGTCGGCGCTTGACTTCCTCGGGGGACAGTTGTCTAAATACTGGCCTCGCTGGTCGGCCGCGCGTTCATCATCGTTTGGCACGAGCTTGCGCGACGCGTGTCGGTGAATCGGGCGTCTGCCCGTCCCCTTCGTGTCGCGACTAAGTGATCCTCGGTCATCGGGCAACTTCCATAGCGACGTGATGGTATCTGGCCTCTCCAGACGAACCTCCACAGCCAGATCGAATTTTAATCCACCTACAAACGCTCCTACCAATGCATCCTCGGGCCAATCACGTACGCGGCATGCCAACCGTTCAAACTCCCTGATGTATTCACACAAGATGCCTGTCTGCCGTATGTGCGTGAGAGCCTCGTTGTAGTTATGGTAGTCCGATGTACCGAACTGCACAAGCAACTCCCTTTCAAAGATATCCCAAGTAATAATTTGTTGTCGCTTGCGGTAGATCCTTGTGAGCCATTGCCACCATACATTGGCCTCACCATTAAGGTAATAGGCGGCGTACCTTACACGATCTGGACCGTCGGTTTCATTGAGCTCAAAATATTGCATCGCCCTGTTGAGCCATGCGTCTGGATCGCTGCCCGTGAATGTGGACAACATGATGCGCGGCTTGTCGGGTGCACGTCGATCACGATAAGTGGACGCCTGGGGCTGCCGGTCGAAGTCGTCCTCGCGCTCATACTCCTCGCGCCGCCGATTCTCTCCTTCGGGCCGCTCGCGGTTATGATGTCGCGCATGATCGCGTTGCCGCGGCGGTGGCAGGCGTGTGAGAACCGTGTGCGCCATCTCGTCAAAGCGTCTATTCATGGTTTCCATCAGATCTTGCACCGTCGTCTTCGTATTATCGAGCCCTTCTCCAAGCTTATCGATAGCTTCGCTCATGCCACGGAATTGGATATTGAGATTATCAATTTTATCCTTCATCTCTTTGTTGGCCATGGCTTTCCTTACTTCTCTTCGCTCTTTGCTTTGCGGACTCGTGGTTGAAGACGAATATGATGATGAACGATTTTTTTATTTTTAATCGAACGAATTAAAAAGGGGGAGAAAAGAAAAGGGAATGGGGTAGAAAAAACACACGATCAACACCTCTCAATGAAAGCACCAATGATGAGGATCGTGTGTTTCGATTCCCGATAAGCCGCTAACTCGCGCCTTGAATCCCCGATAGTGTTTCTCTAGCCACAACCGCGCCTATTGAAACGAATAAAATTGCAATAGTATTTTGGTGAAACACTAAAGCAAAGTGGAAGAACAAAGTTCTGAATTTCTATTGATTCTTGAATGATTGAAAATAACATAGGGAGAAGGCCTTTATATAGGCGCAAGATTTGTCTAAGTCTAATCTACCTAGTAAACTAAATAAGCAACAACATATTAAGTATCCTAATTTATCTAGATCTCATAATGTAATAAAGAAACTAAGTAACTTGGTATGCACTCCAAGTCTTCCAACCGCCTCAAGTACTTCGGCCCTTCGCACGCACCGCCCTTGTGCGCACCGCCTCGCACGCCCTAGTCCTCGAGGACTAGGGCACCGCCTTCTCCGCACGTGCGTGCCCGTCTGGTGTGTCGCGCACGCCACTGCTGCTGGCCGCCTTACCGCGCGTGTGCTGCCCCGCCAGTCCGCACTCCTCGAGGATTGGGTCATGCCGCAAGCCTCAAGGGCTGGGGCGTCCGGCCCCGCGCGTGCTGAGACGCTTCGCACGCCTCGAGCACATTCACCTTGCACACTCATCCCGCGCGCGTCGCGCGCCGTATTCTGCGCGCATCCGCCTGCGCCCATCTCCCGCACATCCGCGCGTTGGCCACCCGTACTCGCCCCACGCGCACTACACTCCAGTGCGCGCACTTCGGCTGCTTCTCGTGCTAACCTCTTGCGTGCGTGGTAAGCGCGACTTGCGGCGTTCTTGAGCTGCCTAGCCACTTCCACATCAACTGGCCAGTCGGGCATGCTGTTGGGCACTACCTGTGGCTGACTGGCATGCGGACATGCGCACTGGTGTGCGCTACTGCACACTGTCGTTTGTTGTGCGCTGCTAACTGAGGATTGGCTGCAAGCAGGGAACATGAGCGACACCTGTCTGGCATACACGCACGTCGCCTGCATACGCAGTCTGACTGCCGGCACACACTACTCGCTGCGTGCAGGCATGGCGACCACGGTCGATCCTTACCGGCCGTCCGGCAACTTCTTTCGGCAACTCCAACATAACTCAACATGATTTACCATAACATGATCAAATATACTGAATCATACTCAAAATCATGAATTTTTCTTGCTCGATGAACTAGGATGGTCGATGGCGTGAGCACCGTGCGTTGCCTACGGCTTTAAGCCGATTCTTCGACCGAACGTTAAATTCTCTCGATACTCATCAATTGACTGAACATGATTGATTAAATAATGACTAAAGGAATGAATTTTGATCGGGAGTTGTCGAGTAGAATCAAACATCACTCGGTCCTGGTTTAACATAGCCTAACCGAGCATGACTTTAACTTCCTCATGAATTGCCGGACATAACTGAATATTATGACCCTAACATGATCTTACTAACATTAAGAGAAGGTTAGATTGTATTTACCTCCTCGAACTCTCGATCAATGATGCATGACTCCTTGCAAATGGACCTTGCGTGCGCGTTCTTCCTCTCCGTGAGTGCGTATGTGTAAAAATAGCTTAATCTCACTGAACTTGTGCTAATTATATAACTTGAGATAAACTAAATTTTTCACCCAAATTCTGATTTTATAGACGGTCAAAAGAGGGGTGAGTTTGGGTAAAATTGATGACTAAGGCGTAGCCAATATGCTTGCGCCACTTGCCGTGCAACAAGGGCCTTATTTGGCCTTTGTCTTGCTTAGTCACCTCTTTATGAGCTTATTCATTTTCTAATGCAATCTCAAGCTTCCACATGGTACAAGTAATGATAGCTCGTCACATAAACTTTGCTCTTATTTCTCATGACAATTGAACGTACAAAGCATGGCTTAAAACATGCTAATGCTTGGCTAAGCACAATTGTTTAATGTGCTTATGACGTGAATAATGAACGCACATTTAGGCCGCATAAGAACCATTTGCGTACGATAATATTAATTTAGCACATACTTGAATATTTAGAAATTATTCTGAGCATAAACATGACATTTGAAAATTATTCGAACGTTCTTGACTTGGATAATTAATTCTGAACAATACTGATTAATAAAATAAATATTTCGGAACTAAACGTGTAATTTACATTAATAACATGATGGGCCATTACAGACGCCATACCCTCAAGCAGTGGAGGATGGCTGTCATCTCCTTTTCTTGCACCGTGTAGTGTCGCTCGGTATCATTCAGCTTCCGGCTCTCGAATGCTATAGGGTGTCGCTCTTGCATTAGTACTCCCCCAATAGCAAAGTCAGAGGCATCTGTATGAACCTCGAAGGGTTTGGTGAAGTCCGGTAACGCTAAGACAGGCTCCTGGCTCACCGCGACCTTGAGGTCTTCAAAGGCTTGTCGGCACTCGTTGGACCATACCCACGGCTTTTCTTTCTTGAGCAGGTCAGTGAGAGGTGCTGCCCTTGCCGAATAGCCCTGTATGAATTAGCGATAATAATTGACCAGCCCTAAGAAAGATCGTATTTCGGTTACCTTTATTGGCGCTTCCCATTCTATGATCGCCTTCACCTTTGCCCCATCCATTCTAATTCGTTCGTGGCCAACGATATGTCCCAAGAAGTTTACTTCTTCTTGAGCGAAAATGCACTTGGACTCCTTCACGTAAAGCTCATTGTCCCGAAGTACCTTGAATACGGTGCGTAGGTGGTCGGCATGCTCCTCAAGCGTGTTGCTATAAATAACGATTCGTCCAAGTAAACCACTATGAACCGATCTAAGTATGGATGAAAGATCTCGTTCATGAGTGTGCAAAATGTAGCTGGGGCGTTAGTGAGCCCAAAGGGAATCACTAACCATTCGTATGACCCATACCTCGTGATGCACGTGGTCTTGGGTTCGTCCCCTTCGGCGATGCGGACTGGGTAGTAACCCTTTTGTAAATCCATCTTGGTGTACACTCGGGCTCCTCCAAGTCGATCGAATAAATCAGCAATCAAAGGGATGGGATAGCGATTCTTAATTGTTATCTTGTTGAGCGCCCGATAGTCTACGCACATGCATAGTGTCCCGTCATGTTTCTTTTGAAAAAGTACAGGCGCGCCATATGGTGCCTTGCTCGGTCGGATCTTTCCTGTCTCCACGAGCTCTTTAAGTTGCCTCCTTAGTTCCTCAAGCTCGGGTGGTGACATACGGTATGGGGCCTTGGCAGACGACTTGGTGCCTGGTTCTAGTTCAATCTTGTGATCCACCCCTCGCCTGGGTGCTAGCTTGCTCGGCATCTCTGCTGGCATAACGTCCTTGTTCTCTTCGAGGACTCCTCAAATGATGTCGAGTACTTCTGGGGAATTCCCCTCAGAGTTGTCTTCCTTTAGCACAGCTACGTATGTGGGTTCACCTCGATTTGCCCCCTTGGCAAGTTGCATTGCGGACAGTTGTTTGCTGGGACTCCCGCTGTCTCCTTCTATTGTTGGCACCATACACGGGGAACCCTTTTCTAAGATGCAAATGGTACTAAAGGAAGGCATAGGGATCGCTGTTACATGTCGCAGGAAGTCCACGCCAAGTACCACTTTGAAGTCGTCCATAGGTGCGACTGAAAAATTCACGCATCCCTGCCATGTCCCCAAGCGTAACTCCACATTGCTCGCGGCTCCCTCTAGTCGACGAGCATTAGCGTTGACTATCATTAACCATCCAGATTTTTCAGTCCAAGATAGACCCAAGCTTGTGGCCTCCTCCTTGGTGATAAAATTATGACTGGCTCCTGTGTCCACTAGGGCCTTCGTCGGCTTCCCGTTAACTTGTGTCTCCATGTACATAAGCCCCTAGCTATTCGTGGTTCACTCGGGTCTGGCTTTGAGGGCATTTCGAACCTGCAGTGACCCCATCACCGTTGGTTCTTCTTCCTTCCTCTCAGACTCGTGTTGTTCCATGTTTGCAGATAGGGAACCTAGCTTTGGGCAGTCCGTCATGGCATGTGTACCCTTGCACACAAAGCAGCCCCCTTTCGGGACAAACACTTGCTTCTTCTCTTCATAGTTCCGACGTCTCGCGTTGCGATCCTCCTTATCAGTTGCCCGTCGGTGGTCTCGGGGGTCTCGGACCTTGTTGTCCTTTTTGTCTCCCCCACCTTTAGCGGGGTACTTCTTGTCCTTTTTGGTGGCATCGGAAGATGATGATGGGCGAAACTCTATAAGGGACTCCACGGCGAAAATAGCGTCGTTGACGGTTTTGACGCCCCGACGTTGTAACTCTTGTTTTGCCCAGTGTTGAAGCCCGTCCACGAAAAAGAATAGAGAGTCATCCTCGGTCATGTTAGGGATCTGAAGCAAAAGGGTAGTGAAGTCTTTGACATAGTCCCTTATAGAGCCCTTTTGCTTTAGTTCCCTTAACTTGCGTCGGGGCTCATACACTACGTTCTCCGGATAGAATTGTCGCTTGAGCTCTTTGACAAATTCATCCCAAGTGTCTATCCGGCATATGCGTCGTTCAATGTCGCCATGCTTCTGGCGCCACCATAACATAGCAGTATCAGAAAGGTAAAGGGAAGCAGTCTTTACCTTGGTTGCCTCGTCGGTAAGGTTGAAGCCCTCGAAATATTGTTGTATTCTCCACAAGAAGTTTTCAACTTCTTTGGCGTCCCTCACACCATTATAGCCTATTGGCTCTGGGCACTTCACCCTTGGGGTAGGCGTGGTGCTGTTAGTTTCCGCAGTAGCAATTGCCTTCTTGCAGACAGTGATGTCCTCGTGCATCCCCTCGATGCGCTCGTGGATCGCCTTTATAAGGTCCTCCAAGTGATCCAAGCGGTTCTCAATGGCGCCTTGTGCATCGTTCCCATCGTTGATGGTTCCCTTGATGGACTCGAACTCCTCCAAGACGAACGTCTCCAATGTCTTGAAGGTATACTCGACCCTTTCGAGGCTCTCGCCCATCTCTCTAACGGTTTGCTCTAATGACGAGACCTCGGTGCGAGCTCGGCTTTGGTCCCGCATCTTCTTATCCTTGGTCGTGGTGGTGTGCTCCCGCCCACGGGTTTGCTCTTCGATCACCCCCGACCCTGACGCGTCTTGCTCTTTATCTCCGGCAATACTTAAACACGGTACCGAGCGTGGCTCTGATACCACTTGTCACGCCCTTGTTTCTCCGAACCTTGGTAGCGTGTGGCCTTAGCCCTTCGTGTGCCCTTTGCAGCTAGATAAGTCAGCCTCACTCGTGCTCGGATCGTGCTCGGTGTATGCTAGTACTTGGCTAGAGAATATGGCAAAGATATGTAAGAGAGATTGTAAGAAAAGCTTGTAATATTATTCACACAAACTTTGTACAAGAGAGCTTGATAGTTGCTTGGATGCCTTGCAAATGAGGGGGCCTCTCCTATTTATAGGCTCCACCTCCTCTAAGGAACCATCTAGATCCTACAAGGGTCTTGAGTGTTTTAGACCCTTCCACAAAAATCCTACTTCATACACACAAGTCCTAGAACCTTCTACAAGGCCCTAGGCGCTTCATGACCCTACTACAATTATCTACATGACTCTAGGACTCTCTAGAAGCTCCTAGATAATACTTAGCCTCTACAAAGGCCATGTTGGGTTCTGTTAGGAACGTCAAACAACATGCACAGTATTGAACTTTATCGAAATAAATCCTAACGCCGCGGAATCTATAGTTAGGATATTGACGTTTACCTTTTAAAATTTTTGCCGACTCTGAGACGATGTAGAGTACCGTTGATGAAGTTCGTCTGATTACCATAACCTAATGGGCGGATAGGTTTGGCCTTTAATCTATTCTAATCGATAGGTTCAACGAAAGTTGATCACACGGTGCACGGGTCTCGGTCATCGGGTGCAGCGGACGGACGCGGGCGTCGTGCGCGGATGCTGGCGCGGCGCGTCGGGCGCTGTTAATGAAGGATCGTGTGTTTGCGTTCCACTCGACTCGCCTTGAACCAAGCCCGCCTTAGCTCACCCTCGATTGATAGGTGTGATCAACTCGGTTATTAGTCTAACTCTCTCACGATACTTGAGTTCACTCAGTAATTAGACTTGTTCCCTCGATTTTGAACTTGCTCGGGTCTTAGCCTCACTAATTCGATTGCATGATCGAACTCTCACGAATCCTAACACACGGTTTCGAACAAACGTTCTTTTCTATTCAACTCATCAATTCCAAGACATTCAAAACAATGAAGGGATACTCCTATTTATAGGTGCATAAAATAAATCTAAGCCAAAGCTATTTAGATCTCCTAATTTATTAATGAAAACAACATGGTAATAAAATCCTAAAACTACTATAATTATTAAATGCTTGACTTGCACTCCAAGAATAACTTGAACTCCAATTCTTGTCCATAAATCCTTCGCCGCCCTATCGCACGCCCAACCCTCGGCGGATTCGATCCCTCGCGCGCGCGTGCTATACGCGTTGCCTTCCGCGCACGCGCCCTGCCCACCGCCTTCCTCTCGCGCGTGTGCACCCAGCACTCCTAAGCCTGTGAGGCTTAGGCCTCCGCCCGCGTCCGTGCTCCACTCGCGCACTGTTGCGCGTGCCCCACTACCGCTGCCCTTCTCGCGCGCGTGTCGCCGTGCGCTCGGCACTCCTACGCCTACGCGGTCTCAGCTCCCGCCCGCGTGACCTTCACCCGCGCGCTCAGCGTGCCCCGCTCGCCAGTCGCTCGCTACCCGCGCGTACCGTCCAACGCCCGCGGCCTGCTTTCCTACCGCGCACCCGCGTGTACCCAATGCTAACCGCGTGCCGTCCCCTGCTCTCGCGCATCATTGCCCGATGCGCGCCTTTCGCCCATTCGACCATAGACCATTACTGACCGATGTTCGGCTTCAACCACCACTTCTGTATCATTCCCCTCCTCTTTAAGACTTTCCTTGTCCTCAAGGATAAGATAGTTCAGCACATCCACATCACTATCATCTTCTTCAATGGGGAAATCACCTTGATCTTCAGTCCTCAACTTAAAGCGCTCCCCTGGTCGCCCAAATTCCATCTTTCCTCGCCTATAGTCAGTTGTAATGGGCCCAAGTGTTTCGAGCCACTGTACTCCCAACACAATATCCGTTGCCTTTAGCGGTAAGGCGTAGAGGTCAATTTCTAGCTCTAGATCCTGTGCCATAATTGGGACCTTCCTGAACAATTGATTACCTTGTAGTTCATGTCCATTGGCTATTTTGACTCCAAAATTCTTTACCTTTGTGGGTTCCAACTTCAGTCTTCTGGCTATTCCTTCATCAATAAAATTCAAACTCGACCCACTATCTACCAATACCTCCAGCAACAAATCCTTTATTTCAGCCGTGAACCTGATCATCTTAGGACCACGCTTTTTGCACTTAACCACATATAACAAGGACTCCTCCTGTGGCTTCTCTTCCTCATACTCCTCTCCAATTTCTAACAGAAAGACTTCCTTACCTTTGCACTTGTGTCCTGGAATTTCTCGTTGCACGTATAGCACAAGCCTTTTTCCCTTCGCTGCTGCATCTTATTGTCCATAAGCCTCTGTACGCTGCTCGTGGTGTGCGTACCCTCGCAAACTTTCGGTTTTACCTTGGCCCTTGGGGGCGTATCGTCGATCGCGATGCTCGTGCGCCGAACGTCTGTGCGCCCCTCGCTCGGCCTCGCCTTGCGCATTGCCGCGAGATGATCCTCGTGCAGTCGCGCTGCTTCCATGGCAGCCCCTGTCGATCTTGGCCTATCCAGCCGTACCTCCACAGCCAGCTCAGCTTTCAGACCTCCAACAAATGCACCAACAAGTGCACTCTCGGGCCAATCACGTACCCGACTTGATATCCTCTCAAACTCCATTTGATAGTCACGTAGACTACCAGTTTGGTGGATCCTTGTTAAGGCCTCATCATAATCGAAATAATCACTAGATCCAAACCTGGCAATCAGCTCCTTCTCAAAATCTCTCCATCTGATTTGCTCGTCTTTGTTTTTGTAAACATGTGACACCCATTGCCACTATGTGTTGGCTTCACCATCCAAGTAGTAGGCAGCAATTTGAACTCTTTCAGACTTGTGTACCTCATTGATATAAAAAAAATTGCATGGCACGACTTAACCAAGCATTCGGATCTGTTCCTTCGAACGTCGGAATCGTTATCTTCGGGCGTGCATGCGCACGTGCTTCCCGGTGTCGTCTCTCGTCGTGCGTCCTACGATCACCGTGGTGTCGGGTTGTGCGCGTCGCGCGCGTTCGTCCTCATCGCGACTAGAAATCGAACTGCCCGTTCCCGCCATGGTTGATCTCGATGTGCGGCTCCTCCGCATATGGTGGTTGACTCTCTCGAGCTGTTCCGCCAAGTCGTGTATCATGAGCTCCAGCTTCGCCATGTTTTCATTAACCACGTGTTGTCCGTTGCCAAGGGACCTCACGCTTTCCTCAAGCATATCGAACATTTCACGATTCGTCATGACTCTCTCTATCTTTTCTTTTTTTTTTTTTTGATACTCACGAAATTTTTCGAAAAATAGGAAGACAAATTCGAAAAAATTTGAACAAATGGGGGGATAAAAATTGGACAAAAGAAAAAAAGAATAGGATAGAAAAAGTTTAACCAAACACACAATCAATGACTCTCAACGAAAGCACCAATGATGAAGGATAGTGTGTTTGCGTTCCACTCGACTCGCCTTGAACCAATCCTGCCACAGCTCGCCCTCGACTGATAGGTGTGATCGACTCAGTTATTAGCCTAACTCTCTCACGATACTTGAGTTCACTCGGTAATTAGCCTTGCTCCCTCGATTTTGAACTAGCTCGGGTCTTAGCCTCACTAATTCGATTTCATGATCG